AAGAGCATAAGCACCTCAACAGAGATGAGGAAAACCCTGGATACGGCTACGGAGGGAGCCTAAGCTTTTCTCTAGCTCTGAACTCTGAGACTGCATCAAATGCAGGATACTACTTAAACTATGTGTGCACCCCAGGTTTTTCTTTCACATAAGAAACTCTTCACAAAAGCTGACAGGAGCAGGTAAGAGCAACTCTGATATGGTTTGAAACTTACAGAAGAGCTGTAAGCATAGTGCAAAGAATGCTTTAGCATGCTTGTGTTATCATTCTGTCTCCCTGTCCTTCTGCTGGTCCCCACCCTTCTCTACTTTTCTTTAAGTCATTTAAGAGTAACTTGCAGACATCGATGGCCATTTGCTCCCGAATAGATAGGGAAGAATTTTGGTGGGAAGTTAGAATAATAAGAGCGAGAGGTTCTGTAGCTTTTACTGAAATCAGACATTGTATAGAAAGAGAAGCCCAGCTGGAAGGCGGAGTAAAGAAATATTTTAACCTGCACTGTGTTAGCAAGTGACATTTTTTCTTAGATTCACTTAGGTCAATACAAACAGCAGGCTTTTCTAAAGCAGCTTCTACTTACAGTTTACAAAGCATTAAGGAACCACCAACTGTCTACATTAAATAATATCACTGGAAGCAGGGATAGCTTCAGTAGCTAACACTCCTGACCACAACTCCTTCATTCAAGAAATCTCTGGACTACCACTGCTTAATATAAAGATGGTGAGTCCAGAGAACATGTATTAGCATGTATAATGCTTTATTAACTCTAAACTCACTTTTAGAAACTGTATATTTTAATAATTTTAATATAGCATCTCTGAAATCCAGTTGTATTTTACAGTGGCATAATTATAATAGGAAGCTCCTATCCTCACCTCTTAGTGCATAAAATAGTTCACCTTTAAAACGATGACTTGAGGCCACATATACATATTGTGTTTCTCAGGAGGAAACAGTCTTCTAGGAGGAAACAGAAACAGTTTGTGAGAGGCACAGAGCTTTGGTATCAACTCCTAAGAAGTCTCTCAATTTGTGACACGTGATGCAGCGCCCTTCCCTCTGCCACTCTCTCAATCATCCTGGACACTTGGGGGGTCTCCTTATTCCCTTCCTCCTGCCTAACAGCTAGTGCCTGTTTCCTGCCCTGCCCAGCCAAATGAGGGCTTTTCAGATCCGGCTGCTTCTCCTTTGTGACCCTCTCTATGCACATGTTTGGGTGCTTGTGGAGGGTGGTAGCTCACTCATATCATCAATCTAGGGGTCATGCTAGAGAAAAAGGCCCTAAAGAAAGTGCATTTCAATCCTGATACCTTTTTTGGCTCTTGGCTCCAGGAAAATGCAGCTATCTGCTTATTTTTTAATAATAACAGTGATGAGGAGGACGAGAATGATGAAGATGATGATGGGGTTGGGTTTTCCTCCAGCCCAGAGAGAACAGTGAAAGCAAGAACACATACCTGGAGTGGAATGTGGTTTTCCATGGGATTCCTACCATGTTTCACCCACCTGTTTTGTGATGGCAGAATCGTGCTTGACCACTGGGTGGAATCCTATGCCAACCTGGTTCACCATAGGGCTTGTAGGACTTTGGAAGACAGGTGGTTTCCTTTTCTTGGGCTTGTTCATTGAGGCTAGCTTCCTGAGCACTTGCAGGTATGGTGAACAAATCCCAGGCAGAAACGAGCAGGAGCAGAGACCAGGAAGAGCAGCCTCACCTGGACCCTTCCACACTGTGAGGTGCCATAGTATCCTTCTCTGCCACATGAACTAGTACATTCCTGTCCTGCTTAAATGAGCTTAAACTGTTCCTTGGAATCAAAACAGCATAAGGCATTCTAAACCTCTACTTTAAACTATCCACTAGCTTAACTGTTCTTTTTGAAAGTTACTTGTAGCAAATTATTCAAGTTTGAGATTTGGGAATTGAAATCCCCATATTGTGTGCTGCTAACCAAAAGGAAATCCTTGGGTCTTAGGTTTCTGCTTTAGTTGAAAAATTGTAAAAGACCATTAATCCACTGATGTGGATTTTTATTTCAGGAAGAGCCCCATCTTGAGCTGGATCGCAGGCACACACAGGCTGCTTTGGATTTATCCAAAGTCTTCATCAGGCCCCAAGGAAGCCCTCCAATGAGTCTTGCACTATAAAGTCTAGCAGAAAGTGAGGCCTGAGGATTCTGGAGATGTACCATTGCCAGTGGTTTTGGTTTGCATTATTTGGTAAGGGCCTATCATTCTGACAGCATTTGCCAAACTGGTTTGAGGCATGTCCCAGAACAAGAGCCAAGCCTAAGGACATTCCTTAGCTATTTGCTGTGGCAGGAAAGCATGCATCTAGTTGATATGAAAACTGTATGGCATCATTGAGGAGTTAAATAGAAGGTCTCAGGAACAACTTTGTTTTATATATTTTTAAAATAGAAACTTCGTTGGTATCTAGGCAACTTTCATCTGCCCTCATTCTTGCAGAGCTACTGTGATAAAGGCTTTCAGGAATGCTGATAGTCGAGAATTGGCATCAGCCCATTGATAATTTCCAGCCATTAAAGTCTAATGAGAGATTGATGAGTGCAGCAGATCTAAATTATTAGATAGGAGGCTTGCTAAAGATGAGCATTGTAAGATTTCCATGAAATTCACTCCAAAGGCTATTGCTATGGTTAAATATGCCCTCTAAAAGTTCATTGTTGGAACTTTAATTCCTCAATGCCTTGTTGGGAGGTGGAGCCTCCTGGAAGGTGATTGGGCTGGAAAAGCTCTCATGGATGGCTTGATGCCTTTCTCTAATAAGTGAGTTCTGCATTAGTGGGAGTGAGATTACTGCCCCCTCTTCTCTCCCTCTTCCTCAGATAACTGCTTCCCTCCTGTTTCTCTCTGTGATTTGGGATGGTGCCGGTCCTTTGCCAGGGTCTGAGCAGAAGCTGGCATGATGTTCCTGCATTAATCAACTTGCAGAGCCGTGGAGAGCCAAAATTAAATTTCTCTAAATTACTCAGGCTCAAGTATTTTGTTACAGCAATAGAAAACCGACTAACACAAACAGGTCGCTAACAGGACTCTCAGAAAGTCATGTTTATTGTCAAACCAATGCAGTTGCCCCAAAATCACCTCATCACCAGTCTGCAGACTGCACCGTGGTGTGTGAAATCCTGCCCAGTGAGTCCTATCTTCACTGTGAAACTACCGAATAGTTTTACAAACAAGACATTTTCTTAACAGCCTGATTTTTATCGTAAGGGGGAAAAACATCCCCTCTGGAACACTCCTTTGTTTCTTCAAAATGTAATCAGTTACTGCAATGACAGCGAGGAGTCTTTGTCTCCTGGATTTTATTGCAGAGTAAGCACATCGTTTCTTTTTTTTGTGATTCCCAGAATCCTGTTATGAAAATAAAAACATTTTTTTTTCTAGCTGATTTTTTAAAAGGAACATAAGAAAGAAGGCATTTGGGTCTCCTATCTGAGATTTTCTTCTGTGTAAACCTAAGCAGGGCTCTAGGCTCAAATCCTGTCTTCACCTCTTGGCAGCTCTGTGAGGTGGGTAAGTCACGTAGCCTCTCTGAACTCGTGTCTTTTACTCTAAAAGCCGCAGTAAAACAGGATTTACAGGGCAGACAGAGCTCAAGCAATAGTTTGACCCACGGTAAATGTACGATTTTTATATTTACACCCCACGAGCCTGAGGTCGGGAGATGCAATTTACTTAACTAGGTACATCCTGCCTCGATCCCGTGCTACCCTCTCTCTAACCTCCCGGAGATCTCTTTGCTCAGGCATCTTAGAGTCACTAGGAAGAGGTGCAGTCACCTCCGGGACCCGGGCCTCCGGCATCCCTTTAGAAGGAAGCGCTCTCATTGTGCGCAGGAGCGCTCGGTCGGAAACTGAGCTGCGAGCTCCAGAAGGTGGCGACCTGTGCCCCACGCCGGTCCGCGGGTGGCAGCCCTGGCGTCCTCTTTCCGGCCCGGCGGGCGCGGCAGTGTGTGCGCAGCCCAGGGTGGTGGCGGCAGGCACCCCGCCCTGGGCTGCCGCCTCGGCGTGTCAGGTGTCGTGAGAAGCGCGGGAGGGGCAGCCGCGAGCCGCGTCCAGGGAGATGACTGCAGCCGACTTCCCAGAAGCCGTGCACGCAAGGCACAGCTCCGCACGCAAGGGGAGGCGACAGCAGAAACTTTTCAACCCGGCAGCGCTCGCCGGCGCGTGGGGAGCCGCCTCCTCCCACTCTCTGCCCCCGGGCCAGTCGCAGGCTCTGGGGACCCTCGGCGCGCCTAGCTGCCGGCTGCTCCGCCCCCAGGCTCGGGCGTCCGCTGGTGCTTGGCGGCTCGCCCGGCGCCGATCGCCTGGATACCCGGCGCCCGCCAGCGGGCGGCGCCACCTGCAGTCGGTTCTTCGCGGGAAACCTCCGGGCCGGCTGCGCCCGGCGAGCGCTGGCCTTTGTGTGCTCAAGGATTGTGCACCGGAGAGCCGCTCTTTTCAGGGTTTCCTGATCTCGCCCCAAGAATTGCAAAGAAAAGTTTTGCGTGCAAAGGGCCACCAAAGGACGGGCCAACTCGTTAGGGAGAATTTAAGATTTCAATATTAAGGCAAACCGCGACTATAACCTGAGCATCCCCAGTTCCCAACAGGATGCATTTCCTTTCTCGGCTCCAGCGCCAAAGACTCAGGGACGGGTTTTTCTCGGAGAATGAAACACAAATCAGGGACAGGAGAAAGAGGTCGCCCTCCTGGGCGTGGGGCGCACTGAGAGCAGAAGCAGGGCCCGTGGCTGGGTTGACTGTGATTGATTAAGAGCCGCGATCCGGCAGAGTTTACACTGTCGCTCCCACAAAAGTAGCCGGAGGCAGCTCCAGGGCCCCACAAGTCCACCCGAGAGGCGGTCACAGCCCCGCGGTGTGCACCGCAGCGGCGCGCCACGCCCCCCGCAAGTCCCGCCCCGCCAGGTCCAGCTTCCTCCGCTCCTGCTCGCTCCTTAAAACCGGGAGAAGTGGGAGATGCGTGTTGTCTTCGGAGAGGGCGCAAACCCCAGCCATGAGACGCAGGAAGGCTAGGAACTGACTGCACTCCTCGATCCCGCATCACAATCCCAACGCCCGGAGAAAATCTTAGCTTTGCCCGAGCCCCAGGTACCACTGGGCTCAGCAAAGGAGGTACCTTTCTCCGTTCCCCTCCCAGTCCTAGCACTCTTGGTTCTGAAGACGCCAAGAGACTTGCGTGGGTGCTGCAGTCCCTAAGAGCGGGCAGCAGGTGTCCAGGGAGGGCCTCCAGGTTCCCGCCGACCCTCGGGCTCAGCACAGGCCCCGACCCCTCCTCGGAGCCCGCTGTTCCGCGCCGCTGGAGACCGCGCCTCCCCGCAGGTCAGTCTGTCCGCAGCGCCACCTTCCAGGCCCCCGTTTATCTGGGTTCTTGCAGGTCAGGTGTGGTGGTAGGCGCTTTTTAAGGAAACCGAGAGCCACTGCCTAGATGCCTGGCATCACCGGACCGTTATGGGCTGGAGGTGAAGAGGCTGTGCCGAGTCACAGAGATAGAAGCATGCCCTTTCCCTTCTGCCCACAGAGCTTGGGTGGACAGGGGCGTCTTCCGGCCGCTTTTCCGGAGAGCCACCCTGACCAAACCCATGCAAACCTCATCTCCACCTAGGGCCACAGCGGCTGGGGTCTGGGTGTGGGGCGCTCACACCTTTCTCAGCACACCTCAGTGTCCCGCCTCTGCCTTTTTGTCCCCAGCATGGCCCTCAGCGCAGACGACCCGCTGCAGCCGAGCCTGCTGTCCACCCAGCAGACCACGCTCCTGCTGCTCCTCTCCTTGTTGGCCGCCGTGCACGTGGGTCAGTGGCTGCTGAGGCAGCGGCGGCAGCCCTGGTCCTCGCCCCCGGGCCCCTTCCCTTGGCCGCTGATCGGAAATGTGTCAGCGGTGGGCCCGGCGACGCACCTGTCCTTCGCGCGCTTGGCGCGACGCTATGGCGATGTCTTCCAGATCCGCTTGGGCAGCTGTCCCGTGGTGGTGCTGAACAGCGAAAGCGCCATTCACCAGGCCCTGGTGCAGCAGGGCGCCACCTTTGCTGACCGGCCAAACTTCGCATCCTTTCGCGTGGTGTCTGGTGGCCGCAGCGTGGCTTTCGGTCCTTACTCGGAGGCCTGGAAGGCGCAGCGGCGCGCAGCTTTCAGCATCATGCGCGCCTTCTCCACGCGCCAGCCGCGCAGCCGCCGCATCCTTGAGGGCCACGTGCTGGGCGAAGCGCGCGAGTTGGTGGCGATTCTGGTGCGCGGCAGCGCGGGGGGAACCTGCCTCGACCCGATGCAGCCGATCATCGTGGCGGTGGCCAACGTCATGAGCGCGGTGTGCTTCGGCTGCCGCTACAACCACGGAGACGCCGAGTTCCAGGAGCTGCTGAGTCACAACGAGGAATTCGGGCGCACCGTGGGCGCGGGCAGCTTGGTGGACGTGATGCCCTGGCTGCAGCTCTTCCCCAACCCGGTGCGCACCACCTTCCGCGAGTTCCAGCAGCTCAACCGCGCTTTCAGCAACTTCGTCTTTGACAAGTTCCTGAGGCACCGCGAAACCCTGCGACCTGGGGCCGCGCCCCGCGACATGATGGACGCCTTCATCCTCTCCGCCGAAAGAAAGGCAGCCGGGGACTCCGGAGGGGTCGGCGCACAGCTGGACATGGAGAACGTGCCGGCCGCCGTCTCCGATATTTTCGGCGCCAGCCAGGACACGCTGTCCACCGCTCTGCTGTGGCTGCTCATCCTCTTCACCAGGTAAAACCTCCAGGAGGCGTGGGTTGGGGCTTTCTTTCCTGGAGGATGTGGAGCTGGAGGACGCAGTGGGGCTAGAGGATGCTAAGGTCTTAATCAGAGCGTAGATCTTAAGGCTTCTCCCCAGGTCCCCACCCCTCCAAACTGAATCGCGTCCCCAAAGCGACGCGCAGTCAGGACAGGACAGGTGGAGACACGCCTGCACGCACAGCTCACCTGGAGCCGCCAGGATCTCCGCATCTCGGATCTTGTTTCCCGCTCTCTCCTGCTTGGGAGCGGGACACATTTGTGAGCCCCCTGCACCCCCGCCCCCGAAAATCTGATTTTCATAACGCCGGCAAATCAATTCTCACATCTCACTTTAGCGCAATGGGTACACTGTTGGAAGGGTTCCAGGAGAAAGGGAAACGCTGTAAATATGTTAAATAAACACAGCCGGGCAATCGGCACGGATCAGTAGGGCACCCAGCTGGGACTCAAGAATAACCCAGAGTCAGGGATTTGTTCCCGGGCAAAGGCAGCTGGCGGAGGCTGGCTTCCAGGCTAACCGCGCAGAGGCTTTCGGAGGCGGCCAGAAACCAGCAAGCAGGTCTGGATACATAAAACCGCCTCTAAAAAGGAGAACAGCATCAGGTCAAAGAGCAGCTGGAGAGGTCTCTCTTGATGACCAAGAATAACACCTAGAGGGGAGCGTGCCGGGTAGCTAGGAGGCGCCTTCGGCCTCCCTGACCTCTGAGCCGGGCTCTGCAGGCGCCCAGTTCCACCGCGCCCGGACACCCAAGGATTAAACAGGCCCCCGGGTCAGGTTGTCAGACTAAGCAAATTAAAAATAAATTCTACAAGGCTATGTTTATTCTCAAAGATGCTATTGTTTACTTGAAATTCAGGGTTCATCAGGCTACCTGTATTTTATCTAGAATCCCTGTCCCAGGAGCAAATGAGCTTAAAGCGAGTTGCAGTGGCCTAAGGCACCAGAAATCCTGGTTGTGAGCTCAGATTTCATGGGGCTCAAACAGGCAGTCGGGCTGTTGAATAGACCGGTGACCTTGGATTTGGAAGAGAGAGGGCTTCTTCTTATGGGTACCAGCTACATCCTAAATTTCCTTTCATTTTGTACACTTAAACAATTTTGTATACGAAACAATAGCTTTTCGGTTTTAAAATTATAGAAACTCGTATTCGGAGATGGGGAAAGCAAAAATAAAGAAAATCAACCACAGTTCAGGAAAAAATTCCTTCCCAAAACAGATCTTACACATGCCCAGAGAAGCATGTTATCGACTGATTTTTTTTAAAAAATCAGAACGGACCGTAAAAAGCTCTGATTGTAATTCAATTGGGCAGCAAAAGGAAATAAAACAATTTTGGGGTTCAGTTAAATAAAGCTGACACATACTTTTTGCTTCTTTTTAGTGAAAAGACGATGTGGTAGAAATTAGTAAATTTTGGTACCTGTTTCTGATGTGATTCTGTTGAAACGGTCCTGTCTGTTCATTTATGTACTGACTGTGCCTGCTTTCACATTATAACAGAAGGCAGAACTGAGCAGTCTCCATAGGGAGAATTTGGTCTGCAAAATCTGAGGTATTTATTACTTGGAACTTCATGGAAAAAGTTGACAGACCTCTGAAACTTCATGTCAAAGAAGTGATTTTTAACATTGCCCCAATCTCACAACATCTGTGCTTACTTACATTTTTTTTCTGAGTTATGTTAATTGTTGAGGTTTTTTTTTTTTTTTTCCCCTGGGCTTTGGATTCTTTTACTTATTGTAGTGAATATTCTTCCAGTATGTTGTTGTGATAACACATAGGTGATTAGTATCACTTTTTGAGTTTTAATGTTCATCATTTACTCTGCATTTTAAATTTTAGTTGTTGCTCTTTCAATATAATTGTACTTGTTAATTTATTTCTGAAAATACACTTCTAAGCATAAATTATTGAGTTTAAAAATGAGAAGGTGGAGAGAGCAACCTGGCTCTGTATTAAGATGTTTCCAAATGAAATGTACAATTTTATATCTGCACCTAAGTATTACAGTATGTACCACAGTCTTACAAACATTAAGAACTTGCTTTCAAGCTTAGAAAGTACATTCTTTTATCTGTCTTAATTCCAACAATCTTTTAAAAAGTCAGGACAAGAGTCATCTGACATGAAAGGAAGAAAATGGGTCTCCTTTCACTTCTGGCTTTTAACTTGTGTGGGTCCTGGATACTTTTGCTATTGTAGACTATTTACTGTGTAAAAGTTTAAAAATTATATCTTATGGCTACATGGATATAAAAATAAATACATTAAAATTATATATTTAAACATTTTCTCCCTAATAATTAGATTGTTTTTTAGATCTGAAGATTTTTAAATACATGAAAACATTTTTGTTTAAAAATGTTTTTACTTAAAAAGTATTGTGGGCTGGGGTTTAGCTCAGTGGCGTACGTGCCTGCGTGGCAAACGCAAGTTGTGATTTTGATCCCTGGTACCAACAAAAATAAAAAGATAGTTTTGTGGGCCCGGTAGTGGTGGGGGGCCTGCAGGATCAGTTGGCGTGGCCGATGTTGTGTATTTTTAGGCTGAGAAAACTTAAAGAGATTTTTGACTTACTATGAGAAACAGAGTTTTAGCCATGTGAGACTCGTTATGGAAAATATAGTTGTTAAAGCAATCTTATCATTTAGAGCAAAATTAACAAGTGTTTTAAATCCCCACCCCAGAATATTAATTCAGCCACTTATCTAGACAGGCTATTTAGAAAAAGGTGGAGTGAAAATGAATTGTAATTGCTTGTCGATGGAAAAAAGAGTTAATTTTGTTCACTGATGTTTTTCTCCTTCTGAAATTAAAAACCAAACAGATACCCTGACGTCCAGGCTCGCGTGCAGGCTGAATTGGATCAGGTTGTAGGAAGAGACCGACTTCCCTGTATGAATGACCAACCCAACCTACCGTATGTGATGGCCTTTCTTTATGAAGCCATGCGATTCTCCAGCTTTCTGCCTGTTACTATTCCGCATGCCACTACTGACAATGCCTTTGTCTTGGGTTACTACATCCCTAAGAACACGGTGATTTTTGTCAACCAGTGGTCTGTGAATCATGACCCAGTAAAGTGGCATAACCCAGAGGACTTCGATCCAGCCCGATTCTTGGACAAGGATGGCTTCATCAACAAGGATCTGGCAAGTAGTGTGATGATTTTTTCAGTGGGCAAACGACGGTGCATTGGGGAAGAGTTGTCCAAGATGCTGATGTTTCTCTTCATTTCCATCCTAGCTCATCAGTGCAATTTCAAGGTCAACCAAAATGAGCCCTCAAAAATGAGTTTCAGTTATGGCCTGACCATTAAGCCCAAGTCCTTTAAAATCCACGTTTCCCTCAGAGAGTCCATGGAGCTCCTTGATAGTGCTGTCCAAAAGTTGCAAGATGAGGATGCTTGCCAGTGAGAAGCCAGGGGCAAGCTGATATTTTAGAAGTGCTCCAGTCTTGGAGAACAGGAAGGAAAACTAGAATCATTTTAGTTCCTCTTTTATGCCACTATTTAATCAGCCTCTGTGGTGGCCGTGCACTAACTGGCTTGCAGATGAGACCTGTTCCATACTGAGTGGCTCCTCATAAGCCATGGACTATGTCAAAGCTTTGGAAGACTTTTTGAGTCAAAGAATAGAGAGAGCCCATGGAATTTTTGTATACTACTAGATTATTGGTGATAGTTTCTTAAGAAGCATTCTTTGGAATTAAATTTCACCGCCACTACCAACATGCATATACAACTATCTAATGAAGGAGTTTTTCAGTAACTATGACTTTTTAGGTGAATCTAAGATTAAGTTTCTATGTGCAGAAATATATTCCATAGAAAATAGTATTGAGCAACATTTCAGAATATATTGAAAATGCAAAGGCAAGTAGTTTCAATGTAAGATGTGATTGGGGGTGATAAAGGAAAAGGTTAGGGACCAAGAATTACCTTCTCACCTTTTCAGTAAAATAGCTTAGCTAGATTGTAGCTATTTGGGTGGATTTATCTTTTTTCCACTGATGTGCTTTCCCTACTTTAGCATGAATCAAAAAGTCAGTTTCTTTAAAAAAAATGTTACTAGTCAATATAATAATTGTAAGTTTCAGACATTATGAATTTTAAAGTGTGTCACTTTGGTAATCAGTAGAGAGTTTCAGAGGTTCGTCATGAATTTTAGAGTGTCAGTAGTTAAACTGTAAAACTTCAATCTGAAATTGTACTTCTCTTGGTTGCCAAAGTATAGTATTTCAATTATGAGGAAAAAAAAAAAAGACTTTCCAGTCTAGCTTTGATATATGCTTATTTGTACTTATTTCAGTAAGTCTCATGGGTTTAAAAAACCCATGTCACCAAATAGTATTAAGTATATATTATATACATATATGTTACAATGTAGTATGTTAGTATCAATTACTTTCATTAGGAAAAGCTTCAATAACATATGTCTTGAAAAATATTATAAATCAAAAAGTAGAACCAGTCCAATGAAGTATAGTCCAAATACATTAAATGAACCTTATTTTTGACATGAAAACCAAACCAAAGCAAGAGATCTTTCCTTATCCAAGTTTTGAACAATAGACAAATCTCAAAATTATGAGTTAAATGTTCTTGTTTAAATTAAAATTATATTTATAATACAAATTCTCCTTTTGTGATTGGCCCATTAATATGTTCAAATTCCAAGCTCTTGCATGCTTAAATTTAAATTTAATTTAAAATCCAATCTGATTATTGTGTGCCAGTTGAAGCCGGCAGAAATCTGACCAATGTCCTGTAGAAGGCGAGATATCCAACCTGGCAATAGTAAAAACGCCACGTATGTCCAGCTTTTCTTTTCGCTGAGTGATACTGGGGTGTGGACTCTAGTTAAAACTGACTGGTTTCTCTTTTAAATGATTAATGAAAGTTCAGCATTAAGGTCTATTTTTAAATGTCAGAATCAAAAGCTCCTTTGGGAGGTTGTTTTGCAAACAGGGTTGTAAGACAGTGGACTGGGCCAATTAGGCACTATTTATGAGCCATTAGTTTGGTAGTTCAGAAATAAAGCTGGAACAAATGTGTGTATCTGGATTATAGAAATAACCTGAAAACTTTTTAGAAAAGTGATGAAACAGTGCAAAAATACAAAGGGAGGTTCCATATTTTTATTTTCATTGCAACCTAGCTGCCAAAAGAAGTCCTACAGGACACGGTTTGCTGTTTTATGAAGCTATTTGGAATTTCTGTATCAATATTACCAAGGAAGAAGTGAACGATGGTTTTGTATGTGGGTGGTCAGAAGAAAGAAGGGCAGAGCGAAAAGGAAGACAGATGAGTAAATATTTTCCTACCCATTCCAAATTAACCAAAGCACTAAATTTGAAGCAGACATATTTAGAAAAAAGTTGTTTGATGTGCCAGGGTTGAATCTCAAATAAATTTCTAGAAATCCTCAACCCAGCAGGACTGTTCCGTAGTTTGGAATATTGAGTTAATAAACATTTCATATAATTTTATTTTTTATGTTTCATAGTTTTACCTCCTCAATATGAAAACTTTTGCCAGTATTTTTGAAGACATTAAAATCAACTATAGAAACAAGGCTTAGCCAATGTATATACATTTTTTTAGGCACTGGGTAGTCCAAAATACTATGGCTTACAGTGATGTGGGGCTCCTGTAGCCTATTTACTCTGAGATATGTGTAACAGCAAAAATAATCAATTACCAATCCAGATGCCTCATTAATCAACAAGTTCAGATGGGCTATAATCTGTTTTGATGGATATAGGCTTGACTGTCATCTGATGTCTGAGGCAAAGAGAAATCTGTGATTAGATAGAAGTAGGTGGGTGCGTGGAGGTTGCTTGGTTTACTGAATATATTTATCAGTCAAAGGAAGAAAAATAAAACCAAATATGAAAAAAACAGCAACAAAATTTTAGGCCACAGTAATTGGATTACTGGTTTAATCAGCAATCCTCATTTATTTTTCTCCTAGAGATAGACTGTATTTTCTGATTGCTATTAAAGTCAGAACGTCTTCTTCATGTTATCACAAAGTATATACAACATCACAAAGTTATTACAACATCATTTATATTTTAAGACTTTGACTGTTTAAGAAAAGTGCCTTTTTTCTAAAATAAGAAGATATCTCAGGTGTGTTTTGTGGATTATCTTAAAGCTTTCATGTCCCAGAACTTAGCCTTTACCTGTGAAATGCTTCTACACCTGTTCCTCATACTAGATCTATATTAGATCAAATAGTTGCCTAACAGTATGTTTTTAGCTGTGAAACAACTTTGTGGTTAAAAAGATTTTAGTAGATGATTGTAATTCAAGAATAACTTTTTATTTAACCATTTATTATTTTTGTACTTTGTCATGTATACTTTTAGCATGTATGGTAGCAGTTATATGTACATGGTTGTAACCAAAATAGGTTTTGAGGCAACAAAATGTATCTGTTTGATATATCAAATTTCAAAAAAATCTGTATCTGTGTTTATGTATAATGGGACACTATTACAAAAACAATAAAGTCACATTTATAATTTTATGAAGTTTCATTTTACATTGTAACAAATATAGTCTAATGCATCCATTTATTTCTATTATTACTGTGCATTCTTGAACTAAAATATAGCATAATAAATTGATTGCTATTTTAAGATGTTGATCTAATATTTCTGCTTCATCTGTAAAATACAGAACACATTTTTCCTACTCAACGACACACTAATCTCATCTCGTAAGTGTTCCATTCATTCAGTTTTTAAGGTACTTGTGCCTTAATGAGTAAATGTAGTTACTTTTCAATAAAATAGAATGGATGAGAGAATTGCATCGTATACTAGGTGGCAATGTTTTTCTGCTGATCTTTTTATTTGGTAAATTACTTAATGACCCAGGACCTCTACACTCACAGATGTTAGAGCTATACAGTGTCACAGGCCTTATTTGTTCCAGATGATAGCTCCTATTACTGTCAAAACAGGAAAAGAAGCAATGGGGTAAAGATTGATATTCACTGGGATGCAGTCTGATGTGAGAATGCCGCCTATCTGAGAGGAGTGCACCTCCATGGATGTGATCAAGCACATGATCAATCAGAATATCACTGGTGCTTTGGCTTGAGGAGTTCACGGTAACAGTCAAAGGGATGGCTATGAATTAGTTTTGGAGAATGTTCACTTCTTTTCTAGATATGGTACAGAAAGATCTTGGAGTTGGACATACAAGTTCAATATGAGTGAAAGAATTATTTTCATGGGGAAAGGTTCCTTTAAAAAATCCAGTTGGCACCAGGCTTTTGCACAAAATTGTCAAGCAGGGTTGCACTGTACCTAATTAACCAGTACTGCATTGTATAAGCCTGAATGCAGTTGGGAAATAAATGCAGCAGCTTTGGACATAAAATAGATGTGGTCGTTGGAAATTGCCAGAGGTCAGTACTGCAACCTCACAGCCAGTCCACATTTCTACACAAATGCTACAAATGTTAACTGGCTCTCAGCTCTTGATTTTGGCTAAGGGGTTATTACTGCCTGCCCACACCCTACCTCCTGCCCACTTCTGCCCTGCTTTGGTCTCTTATTTATCCTCAGAAAAGGGAGGACAAGGAAGAAAAGGTTATGCATATTGAAATACACTTAAAAGCAATCACTTTAAGCTGGACTTTTTTGGGGTAAGATAATCTAGTTTAAATAGATCTGGGCAAACTATGGGTAACACGTCGTGCTTGTAGCGCCTTCATTTGCTAAGTTACATCCAGCCTCTGAAGAGAAATGCTGTGGTTTTAATAATTTTCAAACTGTGTCAGGAGAGGAAGAAATGGAAGCACTTATGATTTGGGATCACTGTACTAAAATAAACTCTTTAACACATTATTGCACAATGACCTTGCGAGGGAGGCAGCTATATTTGCCAAAATGAATCACTTAGGAACACCTGCATGTGAATTTTCTCAAGAAATGAACGACTTTAAAGCCCACTGCTTCATACCATCGCTTGCCTGTTCCCCGTCTACACATGTTTGCATATAAAGTATAAGCTGCTTTTTTTTTTTTTTAAGACTGTGATTCACAGAAGCTTGACAAGTAACTTACTTTCTCTGTGTAAGGCACATTTCACACTGCATTCAGGGAGCAACTGACATTGTAAAGTTCCAGAAAGAGTCACAACACTGTCCTATTCTGAGAAATGCACCCGTAATTTGTTCTCTATGGGAAAAAATTATACTTTGACTTACAATCTTAAAACATGCATCTTAGAACCTGCCTGGAGCAGGGATCCTTGCCTGAGTCAAAGGTCATCTTCATGCTGGCCTGGTGGCCTGGGATGCAGTCTGATGCAAGAATCACGTCCATCTGAGAGGAGTGCACCTCCATGGATGTGACCGATCATGTGACCAATCAGAATCTTCCTGGGAGCCCATGGGCAACACCAGAGGGGCAGGGAAATACCAAGACATGAACCAGGCGTGTGGCTGGGAAGCTTGTCTTTGCAAACAGGATGCCTGGAGCTGTGGAACTGGTTTTGGACCACTTGAGTGTCCTTTGGGCACTGTATAACACCAGCAACACAGGATGTCATAGCAAAATCTTAATAGTACTGAGATGTTTTTGAGGTCAGGCTAAGAGTCACTGTGCAAGCCTGCAAAATCAGCCTGGCGTCGTCTTTGTCCCTGTTTTTATTCCTGTTGTCCCACCTCTTCCACACACTGTACTCATTGAAGTATGCTTAATGTGTATGCTGTGTGTTCCAGCAAAATTTGAATTTTTTGTATACATGTTAATTTACATGAATACTATAATCACCTCATCCTGTAGTGCAATCTTTTCTTAGCATAATAGTTTAAAGTCACATCCCTTTGTAGTCTTCTGGCTCCTAATTGCTGCCTCATTCCACAGTATTCATTCACTGTGGTCTCTCTGCCTACTCTCTGGGGAATAGATATACATATGGCATTCAATTCTAGGAGTTCCTAAATCATGCTGCAAGGAATACCCTTGTATGTATATGTGTTTCCTGGTGGGCTTATGTAAGATTTGGAACATATACATACCCAGGTTTTTACTTGAAGAGTCAGCAAGTATGAAAATGAAATTTAAATAATACGAGTATGTTCTCCAGAATGCCAGGTGAATTGATCCTCCTTTCAGTGGTGTGTGAGAATTCCTCTGCACCTAGCTCCCCATCAACATATGGCATGGTCTCTTTATTTTATGTGGTATACATCTTCTTGGTAGAAATTATGTACTAAATCAATTTTGTTATTTTTAAAGAGGATAAAGCCAAGGAAAATAAAACAGAATAAAACTAATCAATACAAGCCATGGTACAAAACTTCAAAACAATACAAAATCAACAACAGTTACCAAATTTCTCTTGTTGTCTTCAAAATAGCTGCAGATACCTTCAGACAGTAAAAATCAAACAGAATAGAAACAATACAAACAAAACAATGAATGCAATAAAGGATTTCAAAGCAACACAATAGTAAATCCAAAATAGCTACTATAATATATCTTGCTGTCTTTGAAATAGTTGCTCATGCCATCGGATATAACAAAATCAAACAAAATAACAATAAAACTCAACCCAACAAAACAATGAAAATGATACAGAACTTCAAAACAAGACAATAGGGAATCAACAATGGCTCCCACCCTCAGAAGGAGATCCCTCCTAGATGCCACACTGCATACTGCTGACCTCTGAATAGATGATCAGACCACTGGCCCTAGACCTACAAGGTCAGTGAAACACCAAAACACCACAAGCATCAAATTGCATTTCACCTCAATAGCTACCGTTGCAGCCTCTGTTTCTCCAGATCAGTGGGTCACTTACTGGGGGGAAGAGGGTGGTTCTTCTTGTTTGCCAGCCCATGTGCCAGAAGGGGCTGGGGTCTGGCTGTCCCTCTCACTTGCTGTGGCCTGTGCATGGTGCTGGTTTGGAAGGAGGGCTTGCTTCTTGGTAAATTCTTGTAGTCCGCAAATGGCACCTACTCACAGGGTTAGGCTTGGGTCTGGCTGTCCTAAATAAATTTTTAAACCAGGCATCTGTGAACATTTTTATATACTTCCTCTAGGTGCATTTGTACTTATGTCACCTCAGTTCTTTCAGGTAGTACATTTGTTGAAAATCAGGTACTGGGCGCTACTGATTTTGTCCTGAATGATCTCGTGCATATAGAAGCAAGAGTAAAGGAAAGTGGAGTGAGTGTTATTGATTTCTTGTGGAACACTGATGAGATCTCTACTTCTACCATAACTTGATTTTAAATTGGTGCCTGTGTTACTTGGTGTTCCATCACTGTGACAAAATACTCCAAAAAAGCGACTTGATGGAAGGAAGATTTATTTTGGCTCACAGTTTTGGTGGTTTCAGTTCATGGTTGGTTGGCCTGGTGCTCTTGGGGCTGTCGTGAGGGAGCACGTGGTGCCAGCAGGTAGTAGGGCAAAGAAAAGAGAGGAAGGGGCCAGTCTTCCAATATCACCTTCAAAGGCACACAGTGACCTAACCTCCTTCCACTAGGTTCCTCCTCCTGAGGGGACTCCACCTCCTAATAGTGCCACGGGCTGGGGACCAAGCCTTTAAACCATGACTCTCTGGCCACACTCCTGATACACAGTATAACAACAGTACCTCTGGGCCCGACCTTAATTGCTTTTCTCTGTCATACCACTGAATTGATTTGAGGCTTTAAGGTTTTGGTTTGCTCATTATGTATGTATGTGTACTTAACATGCATCTAACTACATATGTATATGCCAACGATATTTCTGATACTTTGGAAGATACAATTTATTTTAAAAATTTACTATATTATTTTTATTTAAAATGCACCACCATGAAATACCTCTACAAATCTACTAGCGTGTTGAAGTTTAAAAAATGCAAACAAATTGATGATACCAAGTACTGGGAAAGATATAAAGCTTCTAGAACTTTCATATGCTGTTGAGAAGAGTGCAGCACAATACAGTGCTTCCTCACATCTAGATATTTATCCTCAAGAGATGAAAACACATTCACATGAAAGGAATGCACAAATGTTTATGGCAGCTTTTTTTACAATTGTCCCAAACTGGAAAAAACCTAGGTTTCTTTCAAAGGGCGATTGTCTAAACAGAAGACGGTCCATTCACACGATGGAGTGCTGCTCAGCAATAAGAGGAATGAACTCGGAATGTGTGCAACATGAAAGACTCTCACAGGACTTATGCTGAGTAAAAGCACTCATAGTGAAAAGGTTCTATAGAATCCATAATGGTTCCAGGGATATACCAGACTCAAAGAGTTAAAATTTTAGAGATGGGGCTGGGACCAGGGATACAGCTCAGTGGAACACTGCCTGCCTGGCAAGTACAAAGTCCTGAGTTCAATTTCCAGAACAAAAAAAAAAGAAAAGACAAATAATTCTGTGATGTACAACAGATCCACGGCTTTCACTGCTATTGCCAAGGTTTAGAGTGGAGTGAAGGGTGGCGAGGTGGAGTTGCTGGCATGGTTCCTGATTGTGGCAGTGGTTATATGGATGTATATTTGTGTAAAAAGTCATCAAACTGTACCAAAAATAGTATTAAAGTTGGGATTAAAGTGATTAAAGTTTGGGGAAAAGTTTAAAAGGAGGTTGGTGCAAATGAGTTTCAGTGTAGCTGAA